TGCGGTGGTAATCTAGCATCTACGGTATTTGCGAATTTAAATGAATAATTATTTTTTTCCTTACTTTCGAAAATATTTGATGTTTTGATGTTGACATTCGTCCTTTTCTACAAAATTTCTCTTATATAAGAGAATGGATACGTTCGGGTTTGTTATTTCTCTAGTGACCAGGTAAAAGGATACAAACGAATAGAATATAGTAAAAATGATTTATATGTTGAAGTTCCTTGTTTTCACGTGCAAGGTCCAATACCTAATTTTTCAATACTCTTCTAGTTTAACCGAAATGATCAGATTCGTGTCTGATTTTCCGCAAAATCTTCGAGGTACTCAACGATTTTCAAGTGAAGTTCTCAGGAGTTTCTTCAACAAGTTTCCTTCGAGGAAACACAAAGATACGTAAATAAAACTTCTCTGTTCGACTCAATGCCTGCGTGTTTGCCGCAATCTCATCGCACTTCAAATTTTATAAAAAAAAAAAGTCTGAAAACTGATAAATGCCTCTAAACTAATTAACGTCTCTAAAACTCTCTTAGACACTCGAATTGTCAAAAATTGTGAACTCTGACCTTTGTTCTGTTACTTTACCGTGTATTTTAACTCGCTGTTAAGAGTTGGAGTATGATTGACTGAACAGATTGACAACCATATTAAAAACTCGAGTCAACGCGTGCAGTTTCGATGCAGTGCCTCTGCCGAGTCAGCAGCCTCTATTAAACAAAAAAGCATCGTGAGGGATCTGTCCTGCAACTATGCGGAAGGATCATCGAGGGACTGAGAGTTTAGTACTTAGGTACGCCGGCCGATTTGTTATAGCCTGTTAATTTGATGAGTTAGAAAGGACGCCGGATTATGTCGTCAAAAGGTAGACAGGTAGCCCGATCTGTCCAATTAGCCCCGGTGCGGTGCCCGGTTCTGCCTTCAGTTGCTTGGGGTTCTTTGTTCCCCCTCCCCCCCCCTCGAGTTTAGGCCACTTAGAGATATGCCGCTTTCGCCACCCTTCCCTCTATTAGCAACCAACCATACGCCACGGCATATACGCAAGCTCGTTGTACACCTGCGATCCTTTAATGGACCGTCTCTCTCTGCGTTCTGTGCGAAACTCTTGATCATCCTGTCTGCCTTTCTCTCCTCTCCTCCAGTATCGAGAACGTTGCTTGATCGTATCAAAGGAAATACCCATTGGACGATAATAAACGACCTCACCGCTTGTTGATCGGCCGCCTCCCTCGTCAACGAAACTAATTACGTGCTCCGCTCCGCTCTCTCCTCTGTCGATCGTCGATAGTTATCGCTTTCGCGGAATACACGGCTTGAGATAAGCTATGTAATGACAAGAAAAGATTGACGATTGAAAAAATAATAAATATGGAGGATTTAGTTCGAAAAAAAATTTTTTTATATATTTGTTCTTGGAAATATTTTCTCTTCCAAGGAGTTTCTTCTGGTTGATGAAGCATACTTGACGCGTGTGTGTGTGTGTGTGTGTGTGTGAAAATCGTGTAGAAAAAGTTGATATTTATGGATATTGCTTCAAGAAGTTAGCATTCACCATTGCTATGAATTCGTTCTCTTGGTACTCTTGAAACAACATTGCTCCAAGTATTTTCGGTATTCGAAGTGTATCATTTTGCGTCAACTGATTCATGTTCTTGGCTGTAGTATTTTACTATAACGTAGAATCGTATATAAGAAAAGAAAAAAAGCTGTGTAAAACGAGACCAAGTTTATTTTATCGTTTATTTATTGTTTGCTCTTTTCAGTCCTCCGTCTTACCAATCGTAAGATCGTTTCAATCGTGCAACTTAAACCGTAGCACACGCTTAAGAAAAGCAATTGACAGAGTGTCTCTTCGGTGCAGGGAATCCTCGAATTGCTGCAAGTGGATGGATTTTCGATGTACATCGCAAACACACGTCCTCTTCGTTCTGTGTTACGTGATTTTCGAACGTCGCTTGCTCGAGTGCTTGCAAGGGACGACAACCGATGAGTATCGGCCTGTGATGTGTTTCGACGCGTGGAACGCTTACTTCCACGCGAAGGCCCCGTAAATTGGTTGCTTTACTAGTCGAGCGAACCCGGGCCGGGCAAAATGTTTTTTAATTCCGTGGAAAACAGGATAACACCGAGCGAGGAACATGCGACGCGTGTACGCAAATTGCATCGGCGATTACCGGCCGACCACGAGTCTGTAATTAATATGGGTTTTAATGGTTTGCGATCGATAACGAGAGAGAGAGAGAGAGAGAGAACCCCGGCACGAATAATGGGCACGCAGTGCCCGGTTTTAATGTTAATTAATTTCAAGTGCATTAGCGAAATTACAGCCCGCGGCGCAGCAGGAACTTGCAGGACATCAATGTGATTAATAGGTGGCTGACTCGCGATCTATAAGCCCGTTCGTGTCGAAAAGAAGCAAGACAGGCGCCCCCTCGTAGCGTGAGGGAGGGGAGGTTTGAAACCAAGCGCGCGAACACGTTAACGTTAATTAGAATGTCGGAACACGGATTCGTTATGGCTGAATAAAATGCGACAGACATTTTATTAATAATATGCGACGATTTATTCTATGACGTAGGAAGATCCTTTCCTTACATGATAGAACAATCACATTATCTTACAAGTTAAGTAATTATGTACATCACGTATTTATTACAAAGTAACTTACTGACTATGTGCGCGTAATGATTACCGTCATCTGCTATCTTTACGAATTAATTGATATCTTCTTTTTTTTTTTTTTGCTTTGAAATTTCATTCTTTTTCTTTTTTTTTTTTTTTTGTTCTCTCTAATCCACGATAATATACATATCTTGTTGCAGACATGAAACACGTGCCGTCGTACCTGGCATATTGATCGCAAAATCGAGACCGGGACTGATGATGATACAGTAAAAGAGAGAGAGGATCTTGCTTTGTTTCTAGATATTTTTGTACAAGAAGTTTGCCTCGTTGGCGTGAATCGAGTACATAGAGCGAAATACGTATGATACACGTATGATACACGTATGACAAAGCTGCGTTCCAGAAAACAGTGGATATAGCGTCGACCGCTCGATCAAATCCTCGGTCACGATGCCAGGTGATACCAGTAGTCGAAATACGGCGGAGAGCAAAATAATCATCAATATCAATCAATCATCGATATTCCCTCCGATGCTGAATTTCATCGACGTTAGATCGAACACGAACGAATCGTTCAGCATCGTCGACGCGGTCATTCGCCAGAGATCGAAATCGCGAGTGACGTCGCGAGAGATAGGCGAATAACGGCGAGCGTCTAAAGGTGACGTACAAAATTTGAGCGTGTCTCGTTTCACGGTATAATACCTCGCTGTCACGAGACAAGTTTTTTTCATGATCATCGGTCGTTCAAAATCGGGGGGGGGGGGGGATAAATACGAAGATTTCTCGCGAGAATTTTTATTCGAGAGTTTAATCTCGAAAATTGTCCTTGACTCACGTTCTCATTCTTATCGCTTGAGACCAAGTGAGATCAAGTTTTTTCTCACTCATCTTCCACAATTGAACTTCTCATTAATTTTACTATCTTTTTCTTATTTGCAATTGCCGCCCCCCCC